GACTCGGGGGTAGCCGGGGCACCCCCTGCTGGTGGAACCAGCGGGGTGGTCGGCGCCCGCCCGGGGTCGGGATAGCAAATCCGGGGGCTGCACCTGGATGAATGCAGTGGGCGACCGACCCAAGGACTGGGGGAGGTGGGGTCCTTTTCGGGCTTTGGGGTGTGCCTCCCCCAGGGATGGGGGGTTGGCTGCGGGGGGACTGTGCCCCTCCCCTTCTCCATCCTGGCTCCTCCTCTCCTCCCCCCCCCTCTCCCTTCTTCCCCCTGGGGCTCACAGTCCTCCTGCGGTCCACTCCCCCGCTAGGGTTGAGGGCCGGCGGCCCCGCGGCGGCGGCCTGTGGGCGGTTGGTGAGGATCACCAACGCCGCCGCCGCGGGGGGAGGCGCGTGGCGTCCGCGAGCTTTGTTGCTGCCATCGAGGTGAAGGCGTGCCTCCACACGGAGGCGGGAGTGCACCGAGCTTGCTCACAGTGGCAAGCGGATAGCCTCGGCGATGGCATATTGCTCTTGTGCGGGCAGGCTGCGCTGGTTTTCGCTTCGTGGGGAGGCAGTTTTCGGCGTCGTGGGCGAGGACAGTGGTCCGCATCCAATGAGTCCCACGAGTCCTCCTCCTCCTCCTCCTCCTCCTCCTCCTCCTCCTCCTCCTCCTCCTCCTCTCCTCCTCCTCCTCCTCCTCCCCCTCCTCCTCCTCCTCCTCCTCCTCCTCCTCCTCCTCCTCCTCCTCCTCCTCCTCCTCCGTCCTCGGAGTGAGTCTCGCGGGGAGGTCTGGTCGCCTGCAGGGTCGCGACGATTGCCGCGTTTCGCGCGCAGCGGTCTGCGGGGGGGAGGTGCCTTTCTCCATGGGCGGCGGCGCGAGGGCGCCAAGATGTCCCGTAAGCATGCCTCGCGCTTCCCGCGGCGCGAGAGCCGTGCACGCGTCGATGGGCCGAAGGACGGCCTAATGACACATCTTGCCAGGGCGTCATCGGCCCCGTTGGTCAGAGGGGCTTGCTACGAAGATCACAGCGAGTCGATAACGGATCCATCAGGGTCCCTGGTATTCGGGGTTGGGTCTTCCATATACATACTGCCCGATCGGCACAGCCGCGCAGGCGAAACCCTACCGTTTGCATCTTGACACGAAGTTGTAATTGTGATTTTGTGTTGCTTGTGCTTGATATTGGCTCCACAAGCGGAGCAGTTATCAGAGTGAGGGGGCCGAACGGTCATTCACTGTCCCCGGACGCGTGGCTGAAGTGGGGCTCCGCGGTGCGGATTGTCGTTGCGTCGGTATTTTTGAGTATACATATAACGCCGCACCGGGCCCGGGGGCCCCGGGGCCGCTGCCTCGACTACAAATGGGGGGACGTCGGGCCCAGCCCGCTCCCCGCCGGGCCCCAGGTCGGCCCCTGGAGCGCCCAGACGGCCGTCCAGGCGGCCCCAGGCCGCCCAGCGCCACCCTGAAGACAACCTCCAGCGATCTCCGGCGGCTCAAGAGGCGTTTCGAACCGCCCCAGACGCCTCCAACACGCTCGAAGACCCCTCGAAGAGATCCCCCCAGACCGCCCCGGGAAGCAAAAATACCCCCGTTTTTTTCGTAAAACGCACATATTTACTATAATCGATGTTTTGGCCTTCGCACCGTCCTCTAAGACCTCCGACTCTCCCTAGACCGCCCCAATACGGCCCACGAAGCCCACAAGAGAGCCCCAAGACGGCCCCAGAGGGGCCCAAGACAGTGGACGGCCCAAACGCGTCCACGTAGAGCCCCAAGAGGGGCCCAAACGGGAAACCCGGAGCGCCCAGACGGCCGTCCAGGCGGCCCACTGGTGCGAGGCCCCCCAAAGCCAGGAGACGCACACGGGGCCCCAAGATAGCCGACCAGTGCTTTCGATGCATCAAAATTGCTTCAAGTAGGCCCCGGGAGGCTTCAGGATTGCCCCAATGTGGCCTCAAGCCGGGCGTCCACGCGGCCAAGACGGCCAATTGACTGCTTCAGACTGCAGAGCATCACTTTCCGACTGCCCGGAGAACCCTGACGATGCCCCCAAGGGACCGCACGGAGAACCCCCCAGAAGCCCTTCAGATGCCCCCACGAAGACCCTCAGGAGGCACGACTATGTCACGCGCCTGTGCTTGATAGCGCTGTCCAGGATCTTCTAGCGCGCCCCCGGCCTGGGCTAGAATCTGAGCGCGCGCGAAGCGCGCGCGATGGTTTTAGTTCTTATATATAATGAATGATCATTGTTGGTTCCCCTCCGTTGGTGCACCTTTGGTTTTTAAATTCAAGTGCTTCTCCCTGGGCTCGCAACTTGTTTCTGATAATGGAAGATCTTCCTCCTCAGACTGCGCCCCTGGCCCCCGACTTGCAGCAACAGCAACAACAGCTTCCGCCTGATAATTCCTCACCGTGTATTTCAAAATCGCGCTCTCGCGCGGGACGCCCTCACAATGTATGCAGGATCGCGTTTTCACGTGCGAGTTCTTTGCAATGTATTCAAACGCCGCGCCCCGTTGTTCATGAATCGCGCTCTCGCTTTGGGTTGTTTTCGGCGAATTACTTGGGAATCGCGCTATCACTCGAGACCTCCTGGCGATTCATGCAGGACTCACGCTTCAGCAACCCGCCTGCTCGACCTGGCCGCCTGGGCCCGTTTTCCCGACCCGCACGGTAGGGCTTACCCGCCTGATCAGCCCGTCCGGTTCTGCCACATGTGTTATGTTCCTAGCTTCCTCCTGCTAATCTTTCCCATGCTCCATCCTTATCCCTCCCCCTTCCACCCGTCCTCCCTTGTTTTTAGGGGCTGCATCAATCACACGTGGCAGAGTAAGGAAGATATGCCCCCAAGGGGGTACGATCAAACCTGAAGAGGGCGGGTATTGAAGGTTTGGGATATACGTGTTGAAGGGCACATGTGCAGATAAGAGCAAACAGTCTTAGACGTGTCGTTGGTGTTGTTGTTGTTGCTGTTGCTGCTGTTGTTGTGTTTGATGCGATTGCTGCTGCTGCTGTTGCTGTTGTTGTTGTTGTTGTTGTTGTTGCCAGTGTTAGTATTATTGTTGTTTTTGGTTGTGGAGGTGTTGCTATTGTTGTCATTGTGGTTGAGCTTCTATGCTTTTGGAGTAAGTGGGAATGATTACCCTTTCCGGTGACAATTGTATTTTCGAATTGAAGTGCCAATCCTGGGGCTCGCACCCTGCTGTCAATCATGGAAAGTTTTGCGCCACCAAACGGGAATGTTGGCCCCCGGTTTGCAACAACAGAGGCTCCCGCCTGATACTTCCTCACCATGTATTCCAAAATCGCGCTCTCGCGCAGGACTTCCTGGTAACGTGTGCAAGAGTCGTGCTCTCGTGTGGTACTTCCTCGCAATGTGTTGCGGCGCCGTGCCCCCAACATTCATGAATCGCGCTTTAGCCTCGGATGTCCTCACGATTTACTCGGGAGTCGTGATTTCGCTCGAAACTTCGTCGCGATCCATGTTGGATTGACGCTTCAGCGGCCAGCCCGCTCGACCCAGCCGTTTGGGTCCGCCCGCCCGACCTGCCCGTTAGGGTCCGCCCGCCCGACCCGCCCTCTTCTGGTTTTGCCGCCTGTGTTTCCTGCTTCTCACCCTCCTGGAAATCTCTCTCGTGAGCCATGCTTCTTCTTCCTCCAGGAAGGTTTTATCCCAAGGGCTTAGGCGACCCGTCCTCCTCCCCCTCCTCCTCCTCCTTCTCCTCCTCCTCCTTCCTCCTCCTCCTCCTCGGGTCGCCTCCTCGCCTTCTTCCTCCTCCACCTCCCTTTGCCTCTTCACTCCTCCCTTCCTTTAGGGGGTGCGCCAACTACACGCGGCAGGTAGGGAAGATGTACCCCCAAGGGGGGTACGATCGCAGTCAAAGAGGGCGGGCAGCGAGGGTTTGGGACATACGTGTTGAGTGGCACACATGCAGATAAGAGCGAGCAGTCTTAATGTGATTGTTGTTGTTGTTTGTTATTTTGCCGTCGTCGTCCTCGCCTGCGGCCCACCTGCCAGCCAATCCGCGACTCACTCCGCGGCACGCACCGCGACCCACCTCGCGACCCACCCGCGACCCACCCGCGACCCACACATCGCTCTGACGAAAATCTGGCGCCTGCGGCGGGATCTTTGCGCAATGTGTTCAAATCGGCGCATGTGGCGGGCTTCATGAAAGCCTCGCAGACTGCCGGCGACCCCGCTCCCTCTCACTCTTATCCGCAACTGCGGGGTGCTCCGTAATTGTGCTGCGTGTGGTGGAGACCGGCTCGGGTTTTTCAGCCCAGCCCCTGGGGGTTTTCCAGCCTGAAGAAGTGGCTAGCTTGGCCCCTGACGGCGGCCCTGGCTGGCCTCAAAAGGCCCTCCTCGGGGTAGCCCGAGGGGGCTTCAATACCCCAACCATGGGACGGTTTGGGGGCGACGCCAGATGCGGCGCAGGGGTAGTCAGACCGCCCCGGACTGTCCTCGAAACTTGTCTTGCCTAAACTACCTCTGGGGCTGCATGTGCGTAACCCCGAGCTTTGCCACGCTATGCCGTCAACAACCTCTATCTCTCTGTTTTGTCTCTGCCCAGGGCCCTCTTCATCTGCATACTCGGTGATTTGTCGTAGCGCTGCTGCCTGCGAAAGGGCTCTAAGCGTTGGATGCACGCGAGCTTACGGTAGCAGACGGTGGGCCTCAGGAAAGGAAATGGTGGATCCTCCACGAGATCGTTGTTGTTACGATTGCGGCCTCCCCCCGAAGCTTCCGACTCCTCCGATGATGTTTCGTCCCCAAAGAGGAGAAGCAGCGAGGCTCATCCTCACCCCCTGCTCATTTTGCTTCATCTTCCGTCTCAGTCAGCCCTGCTCACGCCTGCTCACGCTGCTCATTCTTCTATTCCTTACAATCTTCCTATTCCGTCCCAGCCCTCCGATTCCCGAGCGTAACTTCCTCATATCCTCTTGCTTATCCCTGCTCATCCTCCAACCTCCTCATCCCAGCTCATCCTCCAACTCCCCATCATCTTCTTCCTCCGCGGGAAGGAACGAGCCGCGAGTCCGCGTGGCCGGGACGGCCAGCCAGGTTGAGGAGGCGCAGGCTTCCCGTCCTTGGCTGCCCGCGCGGGGAGATGATGGGTAACCCCGTGCCCCTGATAAGGATCCCCAGGGGATAATCAAGTTCGGGGGTAGGGGGGGATCATGAATTTCTCGCCCCGGCACTTTGTATGCACGGAGGTAGGGTGTGTCGAAGGTGGGAGTGTTGAAATTGTGCAAATCAAGTGGCCCTGCCACACGTTCGTGACTTGAGAAAGCGGGAATGGTGAGAACTCCATACGTTTGCCACGCGCTCGTGCTCGCGGCCTCGACTTTCCTCGAGCTGCGGCCGCCCAGGACGTCCTACTGGGCTGCTGTTCTCGGCAGCTGTAGATCCGAAGCGCGCGCGCGTGAAGCAAGCGCCCGCAGTGGATCTTGTTTGTAATTCGAAAAAGAAGAAACGCCATAAACAGAAACTTTTGGCACTACGCGCGGATTTCTTGGATCTGGGCGCCGCCCCTGGCGCGCTCCGCGCGCCAAGGAGGGGGGTTTCAGCGCAGATCCAAGAAATCCGCGCGGAGCGCCAAAAGTTCATGTTTATGGTGCTCTTTCTTCTTCTAGCAAAGAAAGCAGGGAGCGTGTCTTTTTCTTCTTGAGTTTCTTTGGTTATTGTGGAATCTGGTTTGAGTACATCTCATTTCTCGTCCAAAATCTCCCTGCAGGAGGACATGCCCGACCGAAATCTAGCCTGTAAAGGAAGCAGGAGCGGATGCGGAGGGGTGCCGCGTGCGAAGGCCTGGCTGCTGAGGCTGCGCGAGGAGTGCAGTTCCACCCAGGCCGGCGCGGCGGGGCGGCACACTGGGCCTTCCCATCCCTCGGAGAATTGTAAGACTCGAGTACACGCCGGTCGTTGAAAGTAGGTATTCTTGGATGCCCAAATGCTAATCTACTTTAGGCGCCTTCCTACTTTAAGAGTCGAGCGGTTTTCCTTCGTTCCTCTTCTTCAGGGGGCGGGCGGAAGTCCAATCTACTTCCAACGCCTTCCTACTTCATGTTTCTACCCACTTCTTCCGACCGGCGTGTAAGCCGGAACTCGGGTTTGCCTACTTTTTTTGACGAGCGCGTCCTGGATTTTGACGGTCCCGTTTTCGTGGGATGTCTGCAGCGGGAGCCCGCGTCAGATTCCAGATTGGGTCTCGTCATTTTCATGATGGCCCCTGTCAGGCCAACCCGAGTCCCCCGTACCCGAGTCTCACGTCTCCCCGAATCCCTTGCTTCCCCCTTCTCTCTGAAACGCTCTTCCCACTATCCTCACATCCCCCCTCTGCTCCGCCTACCCCCCCTCCTTTTTCGCCCTCCCTCACGTCACCTCCCCTCGCATCCCCCTCTCCGTCCCTCCATCCCCCTCCCCTGCCACTCATCGGCCTCCTGAATATCGCCTTCCATCTGCAAGATCGAGACGAGTGCCAGGTAGAACGGACCTGGAGACTCGACTGCTCGAGTGGCGGAGATACTAACGAGGATGGGGACGGGGAGGATGGGAGGGCGTGAGACAGAGAATACAGGGGGAGGGCTGTGAGGTGAAGAGATGTCGAGGATGGGGCGGATTGAGAGGGAGGGTGGGAAAAAGCGAGAGAGAGAGAGAGAGAGAGAAAAAAAAAAACATAAAGAGAAAGAGCGAGAGAGAGAGAGAGAGAGGAGATGGAGGAGAAAGAGATGGGGCAACTGCTCCAGCCTCCAATGAGCGCCATTGGACATCCAGGCCATTCAGACCGAAGGTGCCGGGGCTTGCATGCACGTGCTCGCTCCCACATGCGAGCCCACACGCAGCGACGACGACGACGACCACGGCGACGACGACGACGACGACGGTGCCTCACGGTCAAGCGGCGACGACGACGAAGACGACGACGACGACGACGACGACGACGGTGCTTCACGGTCAAGCGACGGCGACGACGACGACGCGACGACGACGACGTTGACGCTGACGACAGCGGCGGCGGTGACGACGGGGGAGGGGGGATGGCCTCTTAGAAGCACCCCTGCTTCTTAGAAGGCGCGGGCCTTATCTATGATGTAAGGCTGGCGCCTTCTATGAAGTAGCCTCCTAAGAAGCCCTCCTCCCTCTCTCCACCCCCTTGTGCGCGCCGTCAAGACGGCAACTCCCGGCAGCGAGGTGTGGCTGGGCAACCTCGCCCAGCCCCCGGAGAGGCTCGTGGCGCGCGCCGAGGCCCGCCAGCAATTGCCCGGCCGCCTCCGTCGATCGAACATCGACGCTCCAGGAACATCAGTTTAAGTCGGGCACGTCTCTCCACAGGAGGTATATCCTCAAATAGTCAATAGTCTGGGGACGATTGTTTCACTATGTTTAGCTATTTTTTGAATATGTCTTGACTATTTTGAATTTTGCGCCCGAAATCCGCCTGTAGGGGGATATGCCCGACCTAACACTTGCTCCGTCGCCGCCGTCGATCGAACATACGCTCCAGGAGCATAAGTGTTATTAGCGCACGCCAAGCAAGTTCGAGCCGAATGCTCTTGCAGGCCTCGACCTAAGCGGTGTTTCGGCGATGTTGTGAACTGGCTTCGATTTGATGTTGTTTGGCACCAAGGGTGGAACGACGACAACACGAGGGACCACGAAAACAACACGAACCCGAAAAACACCGTTTTAATCGAGCCCTGTGCTCTTGCCCTGTCTCTGTTTCACACCTCCCCCCGCCCCCCACCTCCCACCTCCTGCCGTCTCCGCCTCCTTCTCCTCCTGCCTCCTCCTCCTCCTCCTCCTCCTCCTGCCTCCTCCTCATGCGTCCTCCTCCTCCTCCTCCTCCTCCTCCTGCCTCCTCCTTCGGCCTCCTCCTCCTCCTGCCTCCTCCTCCTGCCTCCTCCTGCCTTCTGCCTCCTCCTTTCCCGGCCGACTCCGGCCTCGCATCCCCGCCTTCTCCCCCCTCCGAACCGAATCCTGCCTGCTTCAGGAAAAAGCCCACCCGGACCGGACAATTGGCGTTTACTAAACTAAACGGCCCTGGGCGTTTACTAAACAGCCCTGCCCTGCTCGATGCCTTCTCTGGGCGCGTTCGCTAAACGGTTTCGCGCGCGGGGGTGGTTGTTATGGGGGTGGATTTTGGCTTCTGCGCACTGTTGCCCCTCGCCCCGCTGCCACATACCCCGCCGGCTGTTGCCTTTCGGGGGCACCTCCGTGCCACAAGACCTCGCGGCGGCGGCGCCTTCTCGCGGCCACCCACGGCTGCTGGGTTCGCCCCGATCTTCTCGCGTCGCGCATCCACACTAGACTCAATTCGGGCATGTCCCTCTACAGGAGGAATATTCAAAAATAGCCAAACACTATTCTGGATACGATGTTTGATTCTTCTCAACCATCCTGTGGTGTTGGGTCCTCGTCTTGAAGAAACGGTCCCCGCGTTTCTCCTCTCTTCTTCCACCCTCCCCCTCTCCCCCTCCTTCTTCCTCCCTGCGTTTCACCCACCCAGTACAACGCTTCGTGGTCCCATAGGGAGATCCACCGAAGCCCCCAGTGCGACCGTCTGGGACGCATGAATTTGGCATTTTCACGCGCTTCACGGCCCCATAGGGAGCTCCACCGAAGCCCACTGTGGGATCGTCCGGGACGCATGAATGTGGCATTTCCACCCACCCAGTACTGCGCTTCGTGGGCCCCTATAGGGAGCTCCACCGAAGCCCCCACTGGGACCGTCCGGGCCGCATGAATTTGGTATTTTCACCCACCCGGTACTGCGCTTCGTGGCCCCCATAGGGTACTCCACCGAAACCCCCAGTGGGACCGTCCGGGATGCATGAATTTGGAATTTCCACCTACCCAGTACATCGTCGCCCCATATGGAGCTCCACCGAAGCCCCCAGTGGGACAGTCCGGGACGCATGCATTTGGCATTTCCACCCACCCAGTACAGCACTTCGTGGCCCCATAGGGAGCTCCACCGAAGCCCCCAGTGGGACCGTCCTTATGCGTCCCGGAAGCCAAATCGAACGGTTCGTGGCTCCTTAGGGAGCTCCAGCTCCCAGTGCGACCGCCCGCATGCGTCACGGAAACCCAATTTGGCATTTTCGCCCACCCAATAGAGCTCTTCGTGGCTCCATAGGGAGCTCCACCGAAGCCCCCAGTGGGACCGCCCGCATGCGTCCAACATACCCGATTTGGCATCTTGAGCCACCCAATACGGCGTTCCGTGGCCCCATAGTGAGCTCCACCGAAGCCCCCAGTGGGACCGCCCGCATGCGTCCCACACGCTCAATTTGGCACTGTCAGACACCCAGTGCAGCGCTTCGTGGCCCCATAGGGAGCTCCACCGAAGCACCCAGTGGGACCGCCCGCATGCGTCCCACACACCCAATCTGGCAGTCACACCCACCCAATTCAACGCATCGTGGCCCCATAGGGAGCTCTACCGATGGCCCCAGTGTTACCGCCCGCTCGCGTTCCCCCCCACCCAGTGCAGCGCTTCGTGGCCCCATAGGGAGCTTCACCGAAGATGAGATTCACAATTGCGGTACCCACAACTGCATATGTTTGGGTCTTTCGCCCGGATAATTCCAGATTGTTTGGATATGTCTTGACTAGCTTCAATTGTTCTTACAAGCTCCGCCTGTAGAAGGACGTGCCCGACCTAACACCAGCCCCTCCAGACACGATCGCAGGAAGGAAGAAGGACGGAAGAAAGCAACGGCGGATGAGAATGCGGTCTTTGCGGATATGTTGCCCTAAGGCCTTTTGGCGTCCCCGTTGGGCTCTCTTGGGGCGCTCTTGGGGCTCTCTTGGAGCTCTTTTGGGGAGACTTGGGGCCTGCTTAGGGCCTTTTGGGGAGGCATGGGAGGCCTCTTGGACCCGTATTGGAAGCCACAGCTCAAAAACGAGTGCGGCCGAAATTCGGTTCGGGTCCCCCCCCCCTCGGAGGTCGGCTATTTTGCCGTCTTGCGCTCTGTGAGGCCCTCTTGCAGCAATCTTGGACCACAACGGACCCTCTGACACCTCGCGCCCACTCCCCTCCGGATCAAGGGTGCGTGCAGGGGGAACAGGTCAAGCTACCCCAAGCCGCAGGCCGTGCCGCTCATTCCCACCCACCCTCCCAACACATATCAGGCGATCGCAGCCATGGATCAAGGAGGCGTGGATTAGCGACGGGTCCCGTTTCCATGGAAAATCGCTGATTTCCGCCGCCGAAAGAGGCGGCACCGGCCGCATTTTGGGGAGGGCACCTCCCCCGATCCATGGAGTTGGCGACCGCGCGCGAAATCCATGGATCGCTAATCCATGTTCGCGCGCCCCCGAACATAGGCAGCATCCGAGCCTGCGGCCCCGATCCCACTGAGCTCATGAGTCCCGCCGGAAGCGCAGCGACGAGGATTCATTGAGAAGGGTGGAGCCCAAAGCACCAGCACCGATTCACAAATCGTTCTTCCTTGAAGCCGCTTGCCCAGACAGGGTGCGGAACCAGTTGTGTTTTCATGTTTGTATATCTATATATATATATATACACATACCTACATGCATATATGTATGTATGCATGTATATGTATCAATATGTATATATACATATCTGTTATGTGTACATTCCTTCTCGAATATTCTTATCAGGATCCCCCCCACCCCTCCGCCCCCCAGGCAGAAATTTGGCCATTCCTAGATGGGGTCCGAGTAGGCAAGGTCGGAGGATCGCGTCGCATCGCCGATTCATCGACGATGCGGCTCAATGTGGCGCCCGTGTTTCCCCCGGGCCGACGTCGCCAGTGCATCGCCGACGTCGCTGGTGCATTGCCGATGCATCGCCAATACATCCGGGATGCATCGGCGATGCGGCGCGATCCTTCGACACCATTTACTCGGACCCCAGAGGCCTCTATACATGGAACTCTCTCAATAATCGTCCCTTGGGTCCGGTTTTTTACAGAGCCTCTCTTGGAAGCGGAGGGGTCTGGTTGGTTAGGGCGCTTTCTTTAAGCCGAAGACGCGAGGTGTCGGGAAGTTCAATGCCCCCAGTTGACAAGGGGATCCGGAAAATTAGGTTGCTGTTGAAGGGGGTTCCGGTTGTTTTCGGGGGGATCGATTCCTAAGGGATTTCGGGTAATCGGGTCCGGATGGGTACCAGATGGGTATGCTACCAGATGGGTGTACTATATGTTCGGGTCGGACGCGCGCCTCCAAGAGGACATCTAGTATTAGTACGTCTCTGTGCGTCCCATGTCATGCGAATCCAGCACCCCTGGGGGCCCTGGCTTTGGGACGTCGTTGCTACGCTGCGGCCGCCCCGCTCGCGATCGCTGCGGGCGCGGGCGGTCCGGGGCCACCGCTGCAGCGTGGCGGGGGGGGGGGCCTTGAGCAGTGGCAGCCGGAGCCTGCTGCTGGCTGGAGCCTTCCACGAGTCACAACGTCTCAATCGCATAACACCCCCAAACGTGAAACAAACGCCCCCAACGATCTCTTGTTTGCGACATCGCGCGGGCGCCGACTGAGCACGAAGGCGCGAAGGGCCGCATCTTGTAACCGAGCAGCTCTTCATTATATCGTGGGTGCCCAATTGCAGGCACGCGGGCAATGCGTCGTGACCTCGCGCCAGGGCGACCTTGAGGGGCAACCTCGTCCCGGTGGTCCTCGTTTTATTCTTCATCATCGTCGTGTTTCTTCACCTCTCTATCATTGCCATCACCAGCAGGCCGCATCATCATCATCATCAGGATGGTTATATGAGGCGGAGGAGGAAGGAACGAGGAAGAGGAGGAGGAGGAGGAGGAGGAGGAGGAGGAGGAGGAGGAAGAGGCAAGCTAGGTGCGCTCGCGTCATATCTGACGTCCTACCCCTCCCTCCCATCCCTTACCATGGCGCTGATTTTCTCTATCCGCGGACGCGTGTCGTAGCGGACCTGTGGCTCCGCGCGCGCGTGCGTAGTGGGTGGTGGTGCGCGTGCGTGCGTGCGTGCGTGTGTGCGTGGTTGTGGTGGTGGTGGTGGTGTGTGGTGGTGGTGGTGGTGCTGGCTGGTGCTGGTGCTCGGTGCTGGTGGTGGTGTTGGTGCTGGTGCTGGTGCTGGTGCTGGTGCTGTGGTGCTGGTGCTGGTGCTGTGTCTGGTGCTGGGCTGGTGCTGGTGGTGGGTGGTGGTGGTGGTGGTGGTGTTGGTGGTGGTGGTGGTGGTGTGTGGTGGTGGTGCGGCGGCGGTGGTGGCGGGCGGATGGGCGCGCGAGAAAGAGGCCCGCGCTGGGGCGAGAACGCCATCCTGAACGACGGAGGCCAAACACCGATCCGAAAATGAGGCCCACGCTGCAGCGGGAGCACGATTCGGAACGATTCGGGAGCAGAAATGAGGCCGGCGCCTCAGCGAGAGCAGCATTTTAGAAAAAAACACAAGCGAAAACCCAACTCCGGGGAATCCTGTGTAAAAAAACAGTACGCGGGGGGGTGCCGAATATCTTCCGGACGCCATCAGGGGAAGTGGGAGAGTATTTTCATATTGTGTAATTGTATAATGGGGAGGAGGAGAAGGAGGAGGAGGAGGAGGTGGAGGAGGAGAAGGAGGAGAATGGAAAGGAGGAGGAGGATGAGGAGGAGGAGAAAGAGAAGGAGGAAGAGGAAGAGATAGGAGGAGTAGGGGGTTTGGGAGGAGGAGGGAGGTGGAGGAGGAGGTGGAGAAGGAGGAGGAGGGAAATAATCAGAATGAGAGATCGAGGTGAGAACGAGGAGGAGGAGGACGACGCCGACGACAGGGAGCATAATTTACAAGGACGAGGAAATGAGGAGGAGGAGGCGGAGGAGGAGGAGGAGGAGGAGGAGAGGAAACCGATAAGGAGGCAGGAGGGGGGATGAGGAGGAGGAGGAGGAAGAGGACGAGGAGGAGGAGGAGGAGGGGAAAGAGCAAACTAGGAGGAGGAGAGAGAGAGTATGGAGGATTCGGAGGAAGAGGATGCTAGAGGGAGGTGGAGGAGGAAGTAAGGAGAGGAGGAGCAGGAGTGAGGAGGAGAAGGAGAAGGAGGAGGAGGAGAGGAAAGTAGGAGGAAGGATGGTGGAGGAGGATGTGGAGGGGGGGAGAAGCAGAGGAACAAGGGTGGAACAGAGGAGGAGGAGGAGTCGGAGTCGGAGGAGGAGGAGGAAGAGAGGAACAGAGGAGGAGGAGGAGGAGGAGGAGGAGGAGGAGGAGTCAAAAGAGTGGATTACGAGGAGGAGCCAGAGGGAGGAACGCATGAGGACAGAGGAGAGAGATGAGGAGGAAGACGGGGAGGAGGAGGAGGAGGAGGAGGAGGAGGAGGAGGAGGAGGAGGAAGAGAGGTCGAGATGGCAGAGGAATAGAGGAGGTTCAGAGCAGAGGAGAGCAGAAAAGGGAGAGGAGAGGTCGCCGCCCGCGCGTGCTCGGGCGCAGGCGGGCAAGGTCGGCGTCCGCGTGCAGATCGTGTCCCGCGGGCCCAGGCCTCAGCGCCCCTAGCCGATCGCGCGCCGCGCCGACGCGGCGGCGTCCCCAGTGCGGGCGTCCAGGTTTCGGGTTGACCCAAAAGGGGGTCCAGCGACAAGGGGGTGATGGTGCAATGAATTTGTACAATAGATTTGTGGGGTGGCAATACAAATGGGGCGTGCAATACATTTCGGGGCGTTACGTGCAATACAATGCGATACACATGTCCGGCGCAATCCATTTGCAATGCAATTGCTTATTGCACCACCCACTTTTTAGTTGGATCCCCTTTGGGGTCACCCAAAAGGTTGAACGCCGCCGGTGTCCTAGAACCGGAGGGTATCGACGATCTGCGCTTCTCGGGAAGCCGCGATGGGTCAGGGCTGGAGGACCCGCGTAGTGTCGGAAACGAGCGCGGAGATCGTCTCCTCGGCGGAGTGCTGGCGTGAGCCCGCGGGAGCAAGACGGAAGCGGATCCCCCATGCCGCGGATGCACGGTGGAAGCGCTAAACGCCTGCCATGAGATGCCAAAAGCCTGTTTGGAATCCGTGCTTCTGGAGCGGGCCACCGGGTGCGCCCTGGCGGGCCGCGCTCTGGGAGCCACGCGGGGCAGACGCCGACCCCGCCCGCCCCCATCACTACATTGAACCTCGGCTTGGGAGCTACGGTGGGGGCGTTGGTTCAGGAACGCGCACGGGAGGCTTCAGACCCTGGAGGGTCCTTTATTTGATGAGGGCGGCGGTGATATCCATGGCCAATCCGCGATAGGAGTTCCACTGGCTTCAAGACCCTGGATCCCTTATCGAAGGTTGCCTTATCCCATGCCCCCACCGTATCACTTGGGTGCCAGCCCCGGGTTCCCGTGAGGGGGGCGGTGATATCCATGGCCACTCCACGATTGAAGTTCCACTGGCTTCCAGACCCTGGAGTCCTTATCGAAGGTTCCTTATCCAATGAATCTGGGCTTGGGAGCTTCCTCTTCCTCCTCCTCCTTCCTCCTCCTCCCCCTCCTCCTCCTCCTCCTCCTCCTCACCACTTCGTGGTCAGCCTCGGGTTCGCGGCCTTGCCCTGGCCGACCCACGTCAACGTTGGCCCAGACCAGCTCGGCCCCGACCGTCGCACGCGGAGCGGTGGTGTCGGCGGCCGCTGCGAAGACCGATCGCGCAGTCGCCGAGGACGCTGCGGCTGGCCTGACGTGATCGATCGGTGGCCTCCTCATCGAGGTGCTCAAAAGATTTCTTCCCAGACATGATCGCGTCGTAAAGAATCAGGACGGCACGGTTTCGCTATTTTCGGCCTCGGAGGGCCATGGCCAGGCCCCGGGACCGTCAAAAAACGACTCAGGAGGGAAAACCGGCCGTGGGGAAAGGGTCGGGACGTCCGGGGACGCCGTCCTGAAAAAATCAGGACGTCGCATGTCTGGGAAGATCCTTTCGAGTCTGCTTGAGCCTCCTGGGGTCGCTCTCGTCTCTGCGGCCGGATCCACACCGCTTCTTCTGCCAGGGCGCACCCCAGAGCAGGTCCAGGGGCTGATGTCTGTTGCAGGAGGAGGCAGTGAGCGCGGTCGGCCGCGCGGTCGGGGACCGTAGCCAGGGGCTGGTGACCCAATCGGTCGTTGGTTCCTGGTCAGCTGGATGCCGAGGCAGGGGTGCGGCAGCCAGGCGCTCGTGCAAGGCCCCGCGGGCCGCGCGCAACCCCCCCAGGCATTGTGCCGCACGCGGGTGTGCGCGTGCGTACGTGCGCGCATGCGCGCACGCGTGCATGCGTGGTCGCGAGAGAGTGTGCGGGCGTGTGTGAGTGCACGTGTGTGTGTGTGTGTGTGTCTGTGTCTGTGTCTGTGTCTGTGTGTGTCTGTGTGTGTGGTTCGTCTTTTCTCTGCCCGCTCGCACTGGCCTGCCCCTATCCTTGGAGGACGCGTCCCTTGCTCGAGCGCTCGCGCCAGAGGCACGCTAGGAATTCGCGCCAAAGCGCCCCGCTCGCGCTTCACGAGCGGCTGCTCCGACGCTGCGGGGGAGTGAAAGAGTATATATGTGTGTCGTGTCGTGTGTGTGTGTTGTGTTGTGTGTGTTGTGTGCGTTCTGTGCGTTGTGTGTGTGTGTTGTGCTGTTTGTGGTGTGTGTGTTGTGTATTGTGTGTCTGGTGTGTGTTGTGTGTTATGTGTGGTGTGTGTCGTGTGCGTTGTGTGTTGTGTTTGTTGTGTGTATGTTGTGTGTTGTGTGTGGGTGTGCGTGTTCGTGTTTTTTGTTGTGTGTATGTGTTGTGTGTGCATGTGTTGTGCGTTGTGTGTTGTGTGGATTGTGTGTCGTGTGTGTTGTGTGTTGCGTGTGTCTTGTGTGTTGGGTGCTGTGTGTGTTGTGTTGTGTGTGGTGTGTGGTGTGTGTTGGGTGTTGTGTGGGTTGTGTGTGTTGTGCGTTGTGTGTTGTGTGTTTTGTGATGTTTGCGTACTGTGTTGTGTGCTGTGTGGTGTGTGTGTGTGTTCTGTGTTATGTGTTATGTGTTCTGTGTTCTGTGTTCTGTGTTCTGTGTTCTGTGTTCTGTGTTCTGTGTTCTGTGTGGTGTGTGGTGTGTGGTGTGTGCGTGTGTGCGTGTGTGCGTGTATGCGTGTGTGCGTGTGTGTGTGCGTGTGTGTGTGCGTGTGTGTGTGTGTGTGCGTGCGTGTGTGTGTGTGTGTGGGTGTGCGTGTGTGTGTGTGTGGGTGTGTGTGCGTGTGTGTGTGTGTGTGTGTGTGCGTGTGTGTGTGCGTGTGTGCGTGTGTGTGAGTGAGTGAGTGAGTGAGTGTGTGCGTGTGTGGCGCGCATGCGGGCGGGCGTGCGTGCGTGCGTGCAAGCGTGCGTGCGTGCGTGCGTGCGTGTGTGTGTGTGCGCGCGTGTGTGTGTATGTGTGTGTGTGCTCCCTCTCTCGTTCTCTGTGCCTCTCTACCTCGCTCTGACTCCGGCTCTCTCTCTCTCTCTCTCTCTCCCTCCCTCCCTCTCCCTCTCCCTCTTTCTTTCAATCTGCACCTCAAAAAAAAACATGCCTGCACCCGGCTTCGTTTGTACGGGTAAATAGATGTTCATTCTCGCTTACATGTGTCCTGCCTGATGCTGCCCTCCCCCCCCGGCGGCCACGACGGTGGTGGCAGCAGCCGCGAGCGGAGTCGCCTGCAGGGGGTACCCCGCCGGGGGACCGCGGCGGAGAACGGCCAGGGGCGCCGCCGCGCCAGCGAGCGCGGCCACGGCGGCCACGACATCCCGCGACTGCCGCCACCTTTCCGCCCCCCGTCCCCTCGCAGTGGCGACCCTGATGGCCCGCAAGGAGCGCTCCAACAAGGGCCTCGCCTCCGAAGCTCGAGGGAGCTGCCATCTCGGAAGGCGGCGGAGGGGGCGGCGGAGGGTCGGGCGGCAGTACAACGGGGCGGCGCCGCTGGCGGAAGCCGGCAGAAGGCCGGCGCAAGGCCGGCGGCAGCAAAAGTCGACCTCTCAAGGGATGACAACATGCTTGGGTTCAGGGTTTTCGGAACATAGTGTTGAGCCGCGACGGCCTTGGCCGAGCAAGAGCCGCCGCGGCCGCCGCCGCCCCGAAGTCGCAGGCATCGGCAGCCCACGTCCACGGTGACAACCCACACCGTCAGCTGGCCACACCGCTTGCCCGGCCTCGGGAGGAGGGGAGCGACGACGACGACAACGGCGACGACGACGGTCACGATCGCGATCGCGATCACGATGTCGTCGGCGGCAGCGGCGGCGGAAGAAACGTACACATTTCCTGCACCCTGTGGGCCCCAGGGGGCCCCTTTAGGGCCCCGGAGGTGCGCGACAGGTGGACTTTTTCCACCTACGCTTAAGTCGGGCCTGTCCTTCTACAGGAGGAAGATTCAAAAATAGTCAAACAATAGCCTGGGGACGATGTTTCGACCAGTTTTGACTATTTCTGACGATCTCTGCATATTTTTATACTCTTCCGTCAAATCCGCCTGTAGGGGGACATGCCCGACCTAAACCCGCCGCGAGACGAGAACAGTAATGCGGCCCGAGCCACCGCGGCAGAGGCACACCGCCACAATGTACACAGGAGAACAGCGCGCGAGCAACGAGCAGCTGTGCACGCGGTGGGCTTGGGGAGGGCGGCCCTGGGCAGGCCGCGGCCGCCTCGGCCGCTGCGGCCGACGCGTCGTGGCTGCCTCGGCCGCTGCGTCGCTCCCGTCTCGGGCGTCGTGTGTCGAGGCCGCCGCGGCCACCGACGGCCGACGTGTCGTGGCCGCCACGCGCCGCGGCCGCCGAAGCCGCCGCCGCAGCCGAAGGCACCGCTTTGGGAGGAGGGCAAAGGGTGAAATCTGAAATGCCGCTTCGACGGATGTTCGAGGGCATCTGCAGAAGGCGGATCCCAAGACGCATCGATCCTCGAGGTGCAAGAGCCCATATGGACTTCACCCTGAGCCCTCCGCCCTACGAACAGGCCCAGTCAGCCGCCGTGCTGACCGTCCGTCGCCAGGGCTCTCCGGCGAGGTGCAGCGCGCGGCCCAGTTCCTGCGCGAGGCCACCGCCGCGGGGCGCCCCACGGGCGAGGCCCCCGCGCCGCCGGTGGCCGCGCCGCTGCGGCAGCGCGCCGCGGGGGGGGGGGGGCTCCAGGACAGCCCCAAGAGGAGGCCCGGAGGGGGCACCCGAACGGATATCTCAAGCCTTCGGCCCCAAGGCGCGCCCAGGAGGAGGCCCCAGGAAGCCACCAGGAAGCCCACAACAGGCTCCGAAAGTGGCCCCCGCGAAGCCCCAAGGGGCTCCTCCCCGGACGCCCTGAGGCACTATGGCGATCCCGAAGCTTCCAGAGGGGAGAGGCGATGAACGGCCGTCCTGACGCGATCTTGGGCACTCTTCGAGCTCAAGGTGCCCCCTAACATTAAGTCGGGCCTGTCCCTCTACAGGAGGAATATTCAGAAATAGAAGCATGTGGGGACGATATTTTGACTATGTTTGAATATGTTATGAGCAGTTTCAATTATGTTTTATTTATCGTCCAAGATCCCCACGTCGGGGGACATGGCCGACCTCAGGGTCAGCGGGGGGGGTAATTATCAGGGCCACGATCCCAGACCCCCAACGTCATGATTTTTCCTTGACGCGACCCCCAGAAGGCCCGGACCCATTCCCCGGGACCAGCTGTTCCATCCTGAGTCTGTTTTTGTGGGTCCCGAGGCCTAGTAGGGGCCCCCAGATGCCGGAAAAGGAGGAAAACCTCCCGTCGTGATTTGTTCACAGCGCGTCTGGGACAGGGGGGGAGGCACAGGCTGGGAGCGGGGGGGAGCGCATCGCCGCCCCGAGCCACGGCCCGGGAGGAGGTACATCTCACGAGGGGACAACTACACAGACACAAGGAATCGTCGATTCCCAAGAAGATGTGGGAAGTGGGGGGGGAAGACGAAAGTCCAGGAAATTTGTGGAAATATATAGGGGGTCCTGGGATTCGTGTCCATCTTTTCGTGCGCGCCCCGTCAACATCAGCCCCCAGGGTGGAGGGTTTCTCCGAAGGGCTTAGGCGACCCGTCCTCCTCCCCCTCCTACTCCTCCCCCTCCTCCTCCTGCTCCTCCCCCTCCTCCTCCTGCTGCTCCTCCTCCTCCTCCTCCTGCTCCTCCTCCTCCTCCTCCTCACCTACTCCTCCTCCTCCTCCTCCTCCTCCTCCTCCTCCGCCTCCTCCTCCTCCTCCTCCTCCCTCCTCCTCCTCCTCCTCATCCCCCCTCCCCCTCCCCCATCCTCCTCTTCCATCTCCCCCTCCTCCTCCACCTCCACCTCCTCCCCCTCCTCCTCCTCCTCCTCCTGCTCCCCCTCCTCCTCCTCGGGCCGCCCACGGCCCCGGGGGGGAGCCGAGCACCCCGGGGGCGGGGTCGAGGGCCTCAGGGCCCGCGTCGCGGGCGGAGCGGCGGCCCAGGGTCGGGGACGTCGGGGCCACGCCGCGGGAGCACGCCGCGGGAGGCTGGCCGGAGGCCCTCGGGATCACACCGTCGGAGGCTGGCCGTCGGGATCACGGATCAGACCGTCGGGATCACGCTGTCGGGATCACGCTGTCGGGATCACGGATCACACCGCAGGAGGCTGGCCGGAGGCCGTCGGGATCACACCGTCGGCGAGATGGGGATAGTCGGCGGCGAGCGAGGGGGGGAAGTGAGAAGGAGAAGGCCTTCTCAGAAGGCGGCGGGACTTCTCAGAAGCCCTCGCGCCTTCTGAGAAGTTTTCGTTGTCTTCGGGGAGGGCTTGGGAAACTTCTCAGAAGGCTTGGAGACGTCCGAGCCTTCTGAGAACGCCCGCCCCTTCTCACTTCCCCCCTCGCTCGCCGCCTAGATAGGCTGAAGTCGGGCCTGCCCCTCTACAGGAGGAACATTCAGAAGCAGTCCAACAGATAGTCTGTGGACGGTGTTTTGAGTCTGTTTTGGCCATGTTTGTGTATGTTTTGAATGTTCTTGATTCTTCGTCCAAAACCCCCCTGTAGGAGGACATGCCCGACCTAACGTTGGGATCACACCGTCGGCGGGATGGGCGGGGGCCCCCAAACGGGGTGGGTGACCACACCGTGTGGTGAGTCGGTGGGGATCCGGGGTCACCACACGGTTTTGGGACTCGGGTCATTCTCCGAGGACGTCTCGGGCGACTGGGGCATCCGCGGTCCCAAAACAGTGCGCTGACGGACCGTGCGGTGATGTCTTGGGGGATTTCGGGGTCACCGCACGGTCTGTCACCGCACCGTTTCGGGACTCCCAAGATAGGCAGACCCTCTGGCAAGTACCAACACCGAGCCTTTTCTTCTGGGTGGAGGGCAAAGGGTTAGATCTGAAAGGCCGTGTCGATGGATGTTCGAGGGAATCTGCAAAACGGATTTCACCCTGAGCCCTCCACCCTAAAGAAAATGGTCGCGCCAGAGTCTGTTCGCTTGCTGCCTCCAGGCCCTGGGACCATCAAGAGACGACTCGGAACGGAACGCCAGGCCTGGGGAAGGGGTGGAGAGGGCTGGGGCCCAGAGACTCGGAGGCATCGGGCTTGCAGCCGAAGAGGCCTGAATTATTGGCCACTTCGGATTCGGAAGGGAGCTCGGGCAATCATCCCTGGGACCATGTCTAGATTTTCTCCAGGCGCTTTTTTTTTTACACATGGGGGCAAATTAGCCCAAGACGGGGCCTTGCTCCTCATCCGAGGTCTCGCGTGCGTGACTGTATACCCTCGCAGCGTACAGAGGGAGCCTGAAGACTGCAGTCGTTGCTGTTCAGGGATCTGCACTGGGTCAAGGCAGGAGCGATGTATTTCTCTCAAGCGTTTCAGTTGCAGCCGATGCGACAACTCGGCGAAGAGTGTCGTGGGCAGCCCATGCGCAAAATGAGCATGACGGATATTGCCGAGCGAGCTCTCTATAGCTTTTGTGGCTTAAGCCAGGCGTGGCTCAAGCCAAGTTTTGGGTTTCCAGAGTGGTGCGATGTGTCGCGCGCGATATGCCGCCAACCCTTTATCGAATTGGGTTCAATGTTGGTCTCTGGGCCCTGGGCGGGGTCTTGCCGTTGAGGACCACGGCAGCCGCCAGCCCATCTAAATGGGACGTACTGCAAGGCATCATCCAGGAGGCCGGAGAGGCATTGGAAAGAGCGAGCCAAAGTGATAATGGTTCAAACGACGGTTTGTTGCCAGTTATGAAGCGACTTCAGGAGGCCGTCGAGAAGGTGCCACCCGGAGAGGACGAAACCGATACAAGCATGATTGAAACGAGGGTGCATAATTTCCCAAGGCTTTTGGACAGAGCGTGCCAGCGAATGTTAGGCGGATTGGAACGACAGCTTTATCACGCTGTGAAGACCTTTCCGAGAGACAAGTTGCGCAAGTATTTGAAAGGTTGCGCCCTCTGTGTCCGCCCCCCTGAGATTGCTTGCATGGTCATGCTTGATCTGTTGTGTCGTGCTTCCATGGCGGTTGGATAGCTGGCATTTTAGCTGGTTGCCGCGTTGTCAAAATAGATGGTTCGCATTCGTCTGGGCTGCTTGCTGACTGACTGGTTGTGCGCGTCTGTAGTAATGAATAAGATGGTGGCCTCAGGAGCGCGCACCCTAATGTACGAGGCATGGTTGCCTCGGGAGCGCGCGAGTCGTAATTTAGCATTGGTTGCGGCCTCGGAGGCGCGAGTGCGCCGCGGATCTGTTGTGATTTGCTGAGGTTGTGGCCTCGGGGAATATGCGCTCGAGAGCGTGAATGTCTAATACTTTACAAATGATCGTGGCCTTGGGAGCGCGAGCGCGTTACGATTCACAAGGGGTTGTGGCCTTGGGAGTGCGAACGTGTTGTAATGTATGCCAAGTTGTGGCCTTGGGAGCTCGGACGCCATGCAATTTACAAAGGGTTGCGGCCTTGGGAGCGTGAGCGCGCTGTATTGTACTGCGGGTGGAGGCCTCGGGAGCACTGACGCGCAATAATTTGCTGTGGACTGTGGCCCCGAGAGCGCGAAAGCTGCGGGTCCCGAGAGTAAGCACCACCACCACCTCCAGTCCTCCTCCCTCCTCTTCCTCTCCTCGTTCGTGGGAGAGGGAGGGGGCGAGGGAGGTGGTGGTGGCGTATATGTTATTGCCACGTAAATACGCCGTAATGCACACTGGCTTGAGGCATCGGGAGTGCGGGCGCGTTCTGGTTTCCTGTGGGTGGTGGCCTCGGAAGCGGGAGCGCCGCGCGTGCAGCGTAATCCACAGTGGATTTTGCGGCCCCGTGGGAGCGCACGCATGGTAATCTACAACGGGTCGGAGCCTTGGACGCGCGCACATCTTTTCTTCATCTCAGGGCACCGAGGAGTTCCGAGGACATGATTTCGATGAGGTGCCGGATTCATCATCGGCCGCGAGGTCGCCAGTTCTGCAGCTTGCCAACCTGGAAACGAGGAACATTGATTCATAGTAGCTGACACCCTGGAACCAAGGAGCTGGACTGAAACTGATACTGGAGCCGAGAAGCTGAAGATTGGTTGCCTTGGTAGCCCTTTCAATGGGTCAGGCGGACTACGCGCAGCGGGCAGAGTTATATCGGCTTATGTTGGAATCCAGGCACCGCGAGAGCATCCCACGTGTTGGCTCATGGTTGACAGACGTAGCATCTGGCCGCCGATTCAAAGATTGGGGAGGGCCCCCAACAGGCATCAGCAAACATTTCGGCCCTGTGCGGAAATCTTTCGCGGTTGACAGGATCGCCAGCACCGAGGTAAGTAAGTTCAGGGCGAACTACCAGGGACAATTGCCTGTGGTTCTAACGGGGCTGGCAGAGACCTGGCCCGCCCGGAAAAAGTGGACCCTGGATTATCTGAAGGACAAAATCGGACGTGCAGTAGTCAAGGCCGTTTTCCCAGAGAGGTCAGACGGGTGGGTAAACGAGATCGCCGTCTTCAACATGGAGACATTCGATTGTTCAGCGTTCCCCCGGGGGAAAAGCAGGAACGACCTTCTGCATCTTGTGGGTAAGTGGGCTATTGTGCGTCCGCCTTCCGCGCATGCGCGGCTGGCCGACGTTTTGTCGGCAATGTCGAACAGTAGCGGAGAGGTCCCCATCTATGTGAACCAGCTCAACATGTTTGAAGGTTTGGAGCCGCTTCTTGAAGATCTAGGAGATTTGCGTATTCATGAGTCGCATGCCCGTGAGCCTCAGCATGCCAAAGATCTATTCGTGACTAATGCAGTAGCTGTTGTCGGCCTGCACTACGACAACGACGACAACTTCATCACTGTTTTGAAAGGAACTAAGGAGATTTTATTGTATCCCCCAGGAGAACACAGGCGTGTATACAACAATCCTCTCGTGAATCTGTTGGTGGACTTTTCCCCCGAGGCGAGACGGAAGCCGTGCCATTTCATCGTGTCGAGTGCTTTCAACAAGAACCATTGTGAGGTGAACGAGATGCAACCAGATGTCGAGGGAGGGCACCCGATGTATGCCAAGGCTAATGGAACTTCTCTCACCGTACACGCAGGCGAAACAGTCTACATACCGGCAAAATGGTTCCATGCAGTCAGGACCGTACCTGCTGCAGATGGCGGCTATGCGTTGGCCGCCAACGCATGGCTCCCTCCACCACCAGCGAGAGCTCGAGAGAAGAAGATCGCTAATGCTGCGAGAAAGCGCAGCGCCAAGAAGCGGGAGCTGTGACTGAGTTTTATCTTGGTTGAAGGATTGATCTCCTTCCTGCCCAGGCCCTCCCCCCCCCGAGACGCGTTCACGACCGCGCGGCAGAAGGCGCAGAGACCCTTCGCCCTCTGCCGCGCGTCGTCCCTCCTGCCTTCTTTGTTTTGCCAGGCTTCCAGCCAAGCTTCCACCAGGCGTCTTTTGCCATCAGGCTTCCATCAGGCTTCCTTGCCTCGAAGAAGAAAAAACATATAAGCATAAACCGTTGGCGCTCCGCGCTGATTTCTTGGATCCGCGCCTGGGCCCCCCGGCGCCGCCCCTGGCACGTTCCGCGCGCCAGGGAGGGAGGCCCAGCGCGGATCCAAGAAATCCGCGCGGAACGCCAAAAGTTTGTGTTTATGTGTTTGCTTGTTCTTCTAATCAGGCTTCCATTCGGCTTCCTTTGCTCGGCGGCGTCTTTTGCCTTCAGGCACATGCCGCTTGCCAAGACAAATCTGCGCCCAATCGCTCGATCTCGTTTAGTCGCGTCAGCTCGAAGCTGTCCAGCGTTTAGATGTTAGTAGCGCATGCACCTATGGTTTCTCCAGACGGGAGGATTCGACGTCCAGCACGAAAAAAACAATCCATCGTCTTGCCGTTTCATGTTTTGCGCGTAGTTGTTGTTCATGTGTGTTTGCTCATTGATACGCACACCGTGGATGTGGCAAGAAGCTGGCGGGCGCAAGACGTGCCAGCAGGGCCCGTGTTAGCCAAATGGACCTGCCAACCAGATGGTGGTGTTCGTGAGGTTGTTTGCTTTTCGAGCGGCTGCGCCGAAAAAGTGCTACCATCTTTGCTGAGCGATAGCCCCATATTCACGCGTGAAGCTGCATCACTATATGCATGATGTGAGCCTTGATGCGAGCAACCACTGTAGAAAACGAGTGCTCCGTGCGGCCCCGCATTATGGTCGCACGCTCGTGAGAGTGTACCGAAGCATAAGAGAGTATACGCCGCTCGCTGAAACCATGAGTTGTCGCACTGCCAGCTCCCAACGTATTTCAAACGAAATCGTAGGTCAATGATCGAATTGCTTTACTGTTCCTCATGTTCAAGGGGGTCGGCCGAAGCCTCATCAGTTTTCAGTGCCTTGCGATGCCCCGCACTTATACCCACTTGTTCCGAACGACGGTGATTGATATCACGGCTAAGAGTTTTTGACGCTTCGCGTGTCCCCTGGCGCCACTGGGCACAGAGACCTGCCCACTGTGGTAAGGTGCTTGCGCCTGTCAGGCGTTGGCCACTCGAATTTGGTCATTTTGTTCAGTGCGCGCGCCCGTGCTAACATTATGTTTAGCCAATTCGCCTAGTTCGCGTCCCGGACTTTGCTCTCGCCGCCTGACCGTCGTCTCGCGGCCGCGACCGAAAAAAGTGTCCCCTGGCGCGGCTGCCCCCTGGTGCCCTCTGCCACGCTGGCGTTGTTCATCCCCGCCAGTCTGGCTTCCTGCCACGCTCAGTGCGGCGCTCTGCGACGCTATGACATGCGTGTGGCATGGGCCGGGCCCACAGGGCTCTCCACAGGGCCGGCTCGTTGTCCGTGCTCGGGACTGGTGGGCCCCTGGAGTCTCGCGGTCGCCTCGGAGTGGTTCAGCCTTCCGTCTCACGCAGATTTCCATCCTGGCTCCGTCCCAGCCGATCAAGCATGTCTACGCCGTCGTCACGGTTCTTGCTCAGCTTACCTGGCTGGTATACGCCGTCGGCGCGGTCTTGGCCCGTGGCGCCCCGCTGGCGACTCGACCATCGTTTACCTTGCCTTCTTGCCCACCATGCGTGAGAGGGGTGCAGTGCAGGACGCTCTCCTGCGTCCGCGCCTCCAACCGGGTGGTTTAACGCCGCAGGGCGTAACACCGAATTCCCTGGCATTTTGCCCTTGGCTGCACGATGCTCGAGCTTCCCTGGGTGCCCGTCAGCCAGTCAACCCTCGCCTCGCTGCCCTAGCGGCCGCCTTGTGAGCTGGCCCGGCCGGCCTGAGTTGCGCCCTGCAGCTAATTAGGTTTGTTTGTAGGCCCGGACAACTGATTTCGCCGCGTGCGCTCTTCGCTCGCGGCCGCGACCCACAAACAATATCCCCACCAGTTGCGCCCTTGGCGCCTTCTGGCGACATGACCAGCGTGTACCTGGCCTTCACTTGCTACAGTGTTTGTGCGGATAGTGCGTGTAGGACGTTCTCTGACTCGGCATGGCACCTACACCGTGGTGGACTGGCGCCGCGGCGTACAGTTGGGAATTCCCTGGCACTTTGCCACACGTGTGCATGATGCTCGAGCTTCCCTGGGCGTTGCAGTTCAGCCAGTCAGCCCCCCGCCGCCGCTGCCGCAGCTGCTGCCTCTGAGGGCTGGCCCGGCCGGCTTGCGCTGCGCCTTGTAGCTAATTAAGTTTGCCCGTTGGCCCGGACATCCTTCTCGCCGCCTGCGCTTTCGCTTGCGGTTGCGACCAAACAAGTACCCCCACCAGTTGTGTAGCTTTGGACTTCCGCAGGCCCTCGCGAACAAATCATCCCCACCAGCCAGCCCATCCAGAATCGATGCCCATGAGAGCTGATGGGGGGAGAGAGAGAGGAAGAGACACGCATAGTCAAACAGCGAGGGAGGCCTGGGAGGTTTCGTGGCCATCTCGAGCCGCTTTGGAGTGGCCTTGAGGCCGCTTGGGGCATTTTGGGAGACATCTTGAGCCAGCTTGGGCTATCTGAGCCATCTTGGAGGTCATCTTCGGCTCTCTGAGGCTGCTCTGGGGCCTCTCGGGTGCCTCTCGGGTGCCTCTTGGAACCTTATTGGGGCTTTTTGGGGCGCTCTTGGAGTTTTCTTGGGGGCCTCTTGGGAGCCCTGGACTTGTGGTGCCATCTTGGAGGCGGTCGGTCAAAAGAGGGGGGGTACTCGATTTTTCCCCCCCCCGGAAGCCACGATCCCCGTGAGGGTGTCAAACATTGGCCCTCCCAGGGGCCGAAAAAGGAGCCTCCGACACCTCGCGGCCCCTCCCAACAAAAAACCTCAGGGAGGGGAGGGGGCGGGCTCCCCTACCCAAAGGGAAAAGGGGCTGTGGAAGGGGAGAGAGACCCTCCTTAGACCACCTGTCGCCCAAAGGGTTGGTGGGATTCTGGTAGCCGTTATCCAATGAACCTTGGCTTGGGAGCTTCTCCTCCTCCTCCTCCTCCTCCTCCTCCTCCTCCTCTCTCCTCCTCCTCCTCCCCCTCCCCCTCCTCCTCCTCCTCCTCCTCCTCCTCCTCCTCCTCCTCCTCCTCCTCCTCCTCCTCCTCCTCCTCCTCCTCCTCGTCAGACCACCTGTCGCCCCAAGGGCTGGTGGGATTCTGGTGGCCGTTACGTGCAGGCATAGTGTCGCCCGCGGTGTGCCGCCCTTGGCTGGCCTTCCTTCCTCCCCCCTCCCTTCCTCGCGCAAGACAGCCTCCTCGACCTCATCCTTCCTCTACCTCTCTCCGCGCCTGTCTCCTATGTGCGTTCCCCTTGCTAGAGGCTCCCGATAGGCCCAACAGAGGCCCCAGAGCGGCCCCAAGAGCCATCAAAATTGCTTCCGAGAGACCCCCCACGAGATCCCAATGACCATCGAACAGGCTTCATACCCACAACCCAAACACAGTGGCGGGATGGGCCGCAGGCCATCAGATCTGATCTCCTTAGGCGAAGCCGAATTGGGGGAAAGGGCAACCCCAAAAATGGACGTCACGCAAGTGGCCTCTATGGGCCTCCTGGGGCCCTCCCCGCCTGTTTCCTGTGGTTCGTTCCTAGGCAAAGAAACACGGGGAAGGGGAAAAAAGGAGATGTCGGTAGCGACCCTAGGTCCCGAAGGTGGGCCACTCGTGAGCCGCGTGCCGTCCAGGGGGTGTTCGCTGGGGCAGTGCGGCGTCCGTCGTGGACTACGGGCCGCACTCTCAAGGTCTGGCGATGGATCCTCCCCAGAGAGTTCCTCTTCTCCCTCCCCCCTCCCTCCCCCCTCCCTGCTCCCTCCTCCTCCTCCGGAGGAGGAGGAGGAGGAGGGGGAGGAGGTCACCCCCCTCCGCCGCGCCCTGCCGTCGCCCTCAGGTTCCCGACGAAGTTCGAGGCACCCCGGCAGCCGCTCCGCGCGAGGGAGCGTTCCCCTCTCGCCCTCAGGTTCCCAGCGAAGTTCGTGGCAATATGGAGGTCAGCTGTCTGGTATTCCCTCGCTTTGTGTGTTGGGTTCTCGTTTTGGGGCGTGCTCCTTTTGTCTGCCTCTGCCTGCTGCGCTCTGGGTTGGGCCCTCGGTCAGCCGAGGAGTGAGTGTGGCATGGGAAGGATGCTCGAGTGTGTGATCCCCTTTTGGACGGTGTGCCTTGGGGGGGCGCGCGCCCGCCAGGGATCCTGTACACTCGGAGCAGAGTACCCGCCGCCGCTTCTCTTTGCCCTGCCCCTGCTGCTGCTCCTCCCCTGTCCTATGCATGCCAGGTTGCACGGTGCCCAGCGCTCGCTGAGATGGACTATTGACTGTTGTGGGAGACGTGGGTGTGCGCGATAGCGGTGAAAAAAAAAACAAAAACAAAAAAACTCCTCCTCCTCCTCCTCCTCCTCCTCCTCCTCCTCCTCCTCCTCCTCCTCATCCCCCTCCTCCTCCTCCTCCTCCTCCTCCCAGAGTTCCCCCTGCACTTTGAAGCCAGGTGGTTGCTCGCGGGCGCCAGGCCGACGTCGGAGGGGAACCCCGACGGGCCCGATCCCGATCCCGATCCACCCCCTCCTCCTTCTCCTCCTCCTCCCCCTCCTCCTCCCCCTCCTCCTCCTCCTCCTCCTCCTCCTCCTCCTCCTCCTCCTCCTCCTCCTCCTCCTCCTCCTCCTCCTCCTCCTCCTCCTCCTCCTCTTCCTCCTCCTCCTCCTCCTCCTCCTCCTTACCGTGTCCTCATCCTCCTCCCGTCCTCCTCCATTCCTTGTCCTTATCCTCCTCCCCTTGCTCCCCCTCGGACAGGGGAGGCCTCCTCGGCCTCGCCTGCTCCGCCCCCCACTCAGGGCCGTGCTGGGCGCACGTGCGCACAGGTCGCCGTGGCGTCCAGGCCAAGCACGGCACTGGACGTGAGGGCTATCTTCTTCCTTCCTCCTGGATCCCCCTGGAATCCCGCTGAACCCTTTGAGCCCATTCTGAAACGAAACAAGAACACATTGTCTCTGTTCTCGGAAGCCCCGCATACGAACCCCCTTGAACGGCCTTCAAGGGAGTAAAACAGCACTGGGCCTTCTTGCAACCACGGTGGGGGCGTTCTTTCAGGAATGTGCCCAAGAGGCTGTAGACCTTGGGGGGGGGGGGGGGTCCTTGTCCAATGGGCGCGGCGGCAATGTCCAGGGCCGATCCACGATTGGAGTTCCACTGGCTTCCAGACCCTGGGTTCGGCGAGCGGGGCGCTCATCGTGCCGCCCCTGGCGTCGGTGGCGCGCGCCCACGGTTTCGGCGAGCTCGCGCAGGCGCGGGCCAGGGGCCAGGCGGCGCGGGACGAGCGGGCGGCGGCGGCCGCGGCCCGAGAGCGCGGTTAGCGCCCGCGCCCCCGAATCCAGATGCATGCACGGGCCCCGTGGGGCCCTTGAAGAGTAAGTACACCAGAGGAAAACCTGAACCAGTGGATGGCTTTCGCCGAGGAGATCGACTGGGAACCCGGGAGCCCGGGAACCCAGAACCCACCAGAATCGGCCCGGAGCCAATAACCGGGAACCCGGGAACCCGGAACCGAGAACCCGGAACCCAGCCTGCTGCCAGAATCGGTGGGGAATTTTCGCCCAATTTCTTTCCGCTTCCGCTAGGACCCCTTCAGTGCAAGCGCTGCTTGGGGAGCAAATGCCCCCCTGTATCCCCTCGG